AAGGCAGTGACATCATGTGTTAAGGTCACTGTATTCTTTATCACCATGAACTCACAATAAAAGAGGAGGAAAAGCCAGTTTTATTTAAGAATGTCATAAAGAAACAGTAAAAATTATTCATATTTCAAACAATGAATACACATCTTTTTAACATGTGGGACAAATGGGAAGTACACATAAAACACTTGGGCTGTATATTGAAACACGGTCAATTGTGAGCTGAACTAGTTGCTTTCTTTAGGTGACAATTTTATTTAAAAGGACAATAGACAAACTATAGCCTTTGGCAGACATTTTCTAGAAAACGAATGAAGTTGCCAATAGCTCCCAAGAATAAGAGACCTTTCATATGGCATTGTGGTGGTAGTGATAATAACATATGTGATTTTGTTTGATCATCTATTGAATGAATCACCATTTGGAAGAATGTGCACAACTCATGTGCACAACTCAATAAACCAATACATACCAAATGACCGATGAATGGTGCCACAAAATCAGACATGAGTAAAAAAATCCATTATAAGATAAACCAATACATCTTAATGTAACAGAGAAAAAACTTCTTGGATACAGGTTTCAGATGGCATGATGCAAACACACCTTTAAGGAACAACCACTGTTGAGTGCTGGAGTAATATCACAGAAAATCCACAATTCTCTGAGAAGACTATTATTATAATACTCCTCTCTTTACAACTACAAATGTGTGTTAGCCTGATTTTCTTCATGTTTCACTAAAAGAGCCTGAATGCATGTCTCTATTAAGCAGACATTAAAGATACTTACAAAAATGTAAACCAATGCCATACTCTTTTTTGTAATTGCAATTGCTTCACACACAAATTTATGTTAATATGCAATGCACTTATTACTATTATTTTTAAATGAATTAAGTAGTTTATAAATCCCCAGTTTTAATTTCTAATATAATAAACATCTATATAACCTATATATACAAAAACTCCTTGAGCACCTCAATAATTTTTTAAAATGTAAAGGAAGCCTGACACTGGGGCTTCTGCCTGTAGTCCCACCTACATGGGCGGGAGAATCACGTGAGCCCAGGAGTTGGAAGCTACAATGAGCCAGTGAGCTATGATAGTACCACCGAACTCCAGCCTGAAAGACAGAGCAAGACTATGTGTCTAAAATAAAAAAACAAACAAACAAGAGGTTTGAGATGAAAAAGTTTGAGAACCACTGTTCTATATTGTCTAACTATATAATGTTATTGCATTTTCCCCCAGAGACTTGCCTCCTTCAAATTAAGTAATATGTATTACATTTATTTAAACCCTATGTGCATTACATTATAAATATATTTAAGGTTTTTTTTACCAAGTAATATTTAATCCAAAACTTAAAAATAAAGAATAACAACTTGAATATGTCAAAAATTAAAACTAACACTATAGGAGTGGATACATTTTAATTATTACTGCCCTAATAACTAGGAGAATAAACTAGACAACTGTTTTTCCATTACAGATAGCATTTTAGCACAGATAAAATTACATTCTAATAAAGGTCCGAACTGCCCCACAAATTAAATTGATTTTTTTGAATTATAAAAGTTTACATTGTGTTGCGCATTGTATATTTGATTTATTGGTTCAGTCAATAGCAAATGGTCTTTGAAAACTACAAAAGATGTTTTTTTTTTTTTTTTTTTTGAGACAGAGTCTCACTTTCTTGCCCAGGCTAGAGTGAGTGCCGTGGCGTCAGCCTGGCTCACAGCAACCTCAATCTCCTGGGCTCAGCGATCCTACTGCCTCAGCCTCCCTAGTAGCTGGGACTACAGGCATGCGCCACCATGCCCGGCTAATTTTTTTTATATAGATATTAGTTGGCCAATTAATTTCTTTCTGTTTATAGTAGAGACGGGGTCTCGCTCAGGCTGGTTTTGAACTCCTGACCTGGAGCAATCCGCCCGCCTCGGCCTCCCAGAGTGCTAGGATTACAGGCGTGAGCCACCGCGCCCAGCCAAGATGTTTTTACCTATAGGTGAATTAAATATGAATTTCCCCAAAACAATTTGACAAAAGGCTAAACAATTTTAAATGCAATTAAAAAATCCTAAATCATAAATATACTATTATTTTTTTAAAAGGTCCTTAAGTTTGTCTTAAATTGATAATTTTAAGAACAGCTTTTTAAAAATAAAAACTTTTCCTCATTAAAAAAATATCTACAAGGGCAGGAAAATGTGTAGGTTTGAGTGAAGACTAAGAAATAGAAATCAAGTTCATGTGTCATTGCTGACAACCACATCACAGGAGACCCCAGGGTCCTCTAGAGGAATTCACAGCTTCCAATCATATTTCAAGTAATATAGAACTCAGATTCAACATTCTTACATCAATATACCTCATTTTCTGCTAAGCACTGGGAAGTTAAGAAACCATGCCAGCTGCACAGCTGAAATGGAAACACAAATAGCGGCTATCAATGTGTTGGAGACACCACAGAATGAATTATCTGTTTCCCTAATGGTTACCCACATGTCATCAATAATGAAAAAGTGAGTATTAATAGTCCTCTGGGACAAATCAACAGTAAGTGCCTATGGAGATGTTGGATAACTGAATAGTTCAGACAGCATTTTAAACTGGGATTTCAATCCACATGAGCAAATATCTCAAAAATTATACCAGACAGCAACTTAGTAGCATTTTTGTGCTTTCCCCCTTCTTGAAGCATGAAAGACTTGGCAAATAGAGTCAACTTTGACAGAGATTATTGTCACTATGGAAGCCAATCACAATTTGTTCTGAGAGTATAAATATCTGAAATAGTTTTAAAAAAATCTGCAAGCCTAAAACTAAAACTGTAAATAGTGATGTCAGAATTTAGACTGATAATGAAGTTCACCAAGTTTCCGACTTATGTATGGACAATTTTCTAAAACTTTATCTATAAAACACATGGATAAAACTAAGAATTTGTTTTCTTACATAAAACCAATGTTACAGAAGTAGTTAGATTTTCAGGCTAGCTCATAAATGCACGTGGTTCATGTCCTGGAAATACACTTTTTTGAGGGATTTAAGCAGAACGTACTGTTGTTAAAGGAGTTAACATCATGTGAAACAGCAACAAAAAATAATGTATTATGAAGTCTGTCATTTGAGGAAAAATCTTAATTAGAAGAATTACAAGAACTAGAGCCTTTTTTAGGTTTACTCAAATAAGGGTATTTAAAGACTTTAGATTTTCCTGAGGCAACAAAACAAGAATTAAAAAGATTTTTAGAAGCCTTGAGTAATAATTAGATTCTAAATTAATGAAAAGAGAGAAATAGAAATAGATTCCTATGCAATAAGTGACGAGAGGGAAGATCATAGAAAAATGTTTGGTCCAACAGTTTCCTATACCTACTACTAAGCAATATTGTTGGCCCAAGACAACCTGGTTAGTAAACTCTTTTATTCAGACAGCCTTTGATGTGCCTGAGAAGACAGCAGCGAGTTTGCTGAGAGCTACCTGTAGGTCCAGAAGCAGCCTTGCTTTCATCATTCCAAATTAACTATCAATGAAAGGTGGTGTGGTACAGTGGAAAGGAGACTGTTTTGGCGAATGGTCTGTTAACAATAATGTTAATAAATGCAGCTACTTCTATGAGACAAAATTTGTCTACCTACTAGAGCAGATTAAGTGAAAGTAAGTACGATCAGAAGTCCAACTAGTCTTGGATTAAATAATGGATATGGTTCACTGGAAGCGACCGAATAAGGCAATGCCTATATTTCTGTCAAAACCAAGCTCAGGTAGGTAGATCTTCTAGAAACTTTTCCCTGGTTCCCTACTCCCTACTGCTAACCATTTCACATTCTGTGATTTGTGCAAACTTACACGGTGGCACTTACTATTACAGGGTAATTAACCTGCTTACATAGCCTGTGAGTTCCTTGATGACAGGACTTACTTCATCCTACTCAACTCTGTATTTTCAGTATATAGCCTATAGGCTACAGTAGGCACATAAAAAGTCTCTATTAACAATTACTGAATTGAGTTGTTGATGTAGTAGGTAAGATAATCATGACACTAACATTAAATGAACAATCAGGAATTTTTACGTAGAATAAAATTAAATATTTTAGTCAAAGATATGTGATTAACCTAAGCATGCACACAAATATTAATCCACGGGCAAAAAAAAAAAACCATCAAGGAGAAGATCAAGGAAAATCAAACATCAAAACTTAAAGCCAATATACTCTTGTCTCTTTCTATTCAGTTACTGTTTTACAGCAAATGCAAGTAAAAGAGTTGTTAAATGAGACTTATTTTTAGTTATGGCATCTTGGGCAATAACACTAATAATGCATTTTACAAAAATAAATATTAACAAAAATCTTTAGCAAACTGACTTCAATGGTATGCGGTGCTCTCTTGATGTTTCTTAAAAACCCCAGAACTTCTTGCCATGGTATTCGCAGATGTAAACCTGTTACTAGAGGTGACTAAATCAGGGCTACTGCATCCCTCTAATCTTAGTAGGTAAGGTTTTCCTATTTTACTTTTCATCTCTGTGTGGGAAGGTGGGGGTGTGGAGGGCTCATTTTTAGAGATCATAGGTTTCCACACATTACTGGAAATACAATTGGCACATAGTATTAAGAGCGTGTCAGGTTCCCGAAACAAAATGACACCAGACGAGCCATCGGTAATAACCGCATTTTAGTTTCCAAACAGGTATGTGGTTTCTGTTTGTTTTCCCTGCCAGCGAGGTGACGGAAAAGCAGGGTCAGGGCGCCCGACACCGGCTGCTGCCCGGGCAGGCACAGCGCCCAGGGCCGGGTCTCGCACAGCCCCCGGCGCTCGGCCCCCGCACGTCTCCCCAGGAAGCCCCTGGAGCCCCGCGGCCTCTCCCCGGCCTCCCGCCAGGGCTTCGTGCCCACCGTGAGGAGCCGGCGGCTGCCCGCGACACTCCTCGAGGGCGCGGAGCCAGCGCTCGGGCTCCACGAGACTCGGTGTCCCCGGGCCGCACTTACTCAGACTTGCTGGCAGGCTGCGCAGTCGGCCGCGGGCACGAAACCTGGCGCCGCGCAGCAGCGTCCCCCCGCGCCGCCTCCGTCGCTCCTCATCGTCCTCCCCCAGCAGAGGGGCTGCCGCCGTCGCCACGGTCTAGCCGGAGCTCGTACGGCGCGATTCTCAGCTGCTCCACTTCCGGTCCCCGCTAGGGTGTCGCGGGCAAATGCCCCCGCCGGCTCCCACATAACCTGTTCTCCGTCTTCCTTCCCGGAGTGGGAACCCTACCCCCACTCCCGGACATGCGCAGAAACCACGGTCCGGGGAGTCCCGCGACGGTGGCTCGGACGGAAAAGATACCTCGGCGGCCGAGCCCTCCGCTTCCCGCTCTGCAACTTGCGTATTGCGGCCTCTCACCCTCCTCTGAGCGCTGGGAGGCTCTCCGGTTCGGCTCCGGAGAGGAGGAGCCCCATCCGGGGCAGGCCCGACCTGGGGCCAGTGACGTCGGGGAACTCACCAGATCTTTCTACAAGACGCAGTTTTTACAGAAGAAATTGTGTCTGCTTGATAGGGTTGTTAGGGGTGTCACAGTGAGTTCCAGGATTTAAAGCGCTCCCATAGTTATTTTCTATTTTTCTCTCTCACAGTCAGAGTGGACTGTGAAGGCAAGGGCAATGCAAGGTTTTTGAGGCCGGAACCTTGTACAATTTGAAGAGTCGTTTTAAAGAGAATTATCTTATTTTCGCAAATTTTACAAAAGTGCACGATCATGGGAACACGTTGTTAGGGCCCTTCCCAGTGCCTTGAAAGTACCCAAACAAATGGGCCCTTGAGATCTGGGCATCATTAGCCTCCCTGTCACCCCCAACACCGCCCCCCCGCCCCTGCACAAAATTGTACTGAATTGTTTGTTTACAGATGTGTGCCTCCCCCTCCCCTGGGCATCCTTATTCTATGTACCCTATTTTATATAGAGGATATTTCCATACATTTTTGTTGTTTGTTTTTTAATACATGTATCCTGCTGTTAAGAGTAGTCAGTCAGACATGAACAAGGGAGAAGAGGAAGAAGTGAGTAATCAGGATTGGAGCCAACAGCCAAATCTGTAGTTATCTCAAGGTAACAGCAGGAACTACTGCAAACGCCAGGTTTGCCCAGCATTAGCGCATGGGCAGGTGCAGGACCAGGGTCACCTCTAGTCACCTTTTCCTTATTAAGCCGTAATTATAATTAATTAGCATTGCAGAAAACGGGGAAATTAGGGATAAGGACTAAGAAAGAACAGGAAAGCGACCAAATGAGGAAAAGGCCCAATCAAGAGACAAAGATTGAAACAATACAAACACTGACCATCTTGCCTTCGCTGACTCCAGAAAATAAAAGATACCTAACACTCCCGGCAGCTGCTCTTTTGGAGCCTGCCTGCTCTCTTCACTCTCTTAATGGAGAGTATTTTCGTTTTAATAAACTTGCCATTATCAGTGGATTAAGTTAGTGTGCGCGTCCTTAAAGTTTTTTTTGCGACGTTAGCAAGAAACTTCTACGCCGGTGATACTGGTAGGAGATGGAGAACTTGAGGTCAAAGTCAGGCTCTTGATTCATAGCTTCCCACTGTTGATTACCTAATAAGGACCAAGAACTAATTAGGCCATTTACATAAATAAACCAATAATCACAGCAACTCTAGAAGATATTTAGTAGAAAAACCCTTGATTCTCTTTGAACTAAGCAGCTAAAACTACATGATAAAATGAAGACTGGGCTTTGAATCAATTTTGAGTTTGTCTGGAATCATAATTATTCCTCTCATGTCGCTAATACAAAGTCCTGTCTCTAACACTGTAGGAGCTCAGTAGATGTTTAACAAGATACAAATATATACAGACAAGTCCACCCCTCTAACTTAACACTTTTGAAGAGCCTCCAAACTAAGATAATTAAGTTGGATAGTAGGTAGAGGAATTCCTCACAAACAGTATCATGTAACTTTATTACACTGCAGAGGATTTCAGAGAAATATTCAGGTAATTTAGGTGAATTAGATATGCAAAGAAAATAACTGAATGTTGCTAGGCTAGGAGCCCCAGGTTCTATCTCCAGTACAAACTAGCACTGCAAATTCAATGTGTCAGTTTTGTAAAATGAGGTTTTTGTACATTAGACAACCTCTAAAGGCACTCACAGCTATAAAATTTCTCAGAGCCCATTGCAGCAAAATTTCACTTTCAACTTAAATCGACAAGGAAATTTTATACTACAAGGAAATAATTCTAAATGTTATTTCTCTCACTTTATAGATAACTTCTCACTTGTCCACCGTGGAAAACGACAGACCACAGCACAATTTCAGAGGAAATTAACAGTTCCTGGAGCATAAGAACCTGGTTTGTTTCCATCTCTCAATCTTGACTACCTAGCGCAGTTATTACATTATAGTAGATGCTTGATAAGGTTTGTCAAAATAACTTTATTTTGAATCCTTGAGAAGAGTCTATAGTTTATTTCTGGGCATATAAGTGTTTATTTCCATATTAAAAATTATATATTTTATGAATTATGTATTATTTATACATAATATGTATGTATTATTTATACATAAGAGACAAGAACTCAGATCACAGTTGCCAACATCATGTAAAAACAAACCACCTTAGATAGTTTTGCAAAAACCTATTTTTCTATCTAAATGAAACAGTAGAGGTTTTGGTATTCTTCCCTCCTGGGCACTTTCACAACCAACGAGCGAGCGTGTAGTTACCACTGTTTTACGTGCAGATAATGAGAACTCTGAGAGGCTGTCGCTTGTTAAGGAGGGCTTAGGGTCCTTGAATCCAGCCAATGTACAAAGTGACCTCGCTCAACGTCGGACTACACTCCTGGTTCTGCGGCAACCGCTTGCAAAGAGCACTGGCTGCTGAGGCTAACGGGAGCTGAGTGTAGTCACAGCTGTACCCAGGTTCCCTTCGTGGTCCCGCCTCCGCAGCTTCGCGGGCTGCGGATGGGAGCCCTGGGTGGGAGCCCTGGGTGGGAGCCCTGGGTGGGAGCCTGCTGGGAGCCCGCCCACCGCTCAGCCCAGAGTGGCCGCGCCTGCGCGCATCATTCCCGTGACGTCACGGGCCCCGGGCCCCTCAGGTCGCCACTGCGCCGGCGCGGCAAGCAGCTGGCGGAACCGGCTCCTGCTTTCTGGTGCTGTCGGTTTGGCTGCTAAGCTCTGGCTTGCGGTCAGGTGGGTATTGTGTTCGGTGGCTTGAGGGTGGGGGGACGAATGTGGGCGGCAGGTGGGGTGTGTGGAGGCCGGTGAGGGCGGGGGTCGGGGGGCGGCGGAATTCGCGCGCTGGCGGCTGCCCTCCTTAGAAACCTGACCTCCTGATTGAGGGCTCACTGTCTATAGGCAGACCCCGGAACGTGGGCCCGGGGGACGACAGTTTCTCCCAGTTTTGAATCTCTAGAACTGCGTTGCCTGCTTTCTTGGAGTACGTTCTGATTCTGACGACAACTTTGCGAGAAACTATCAAAATCCCATTTTACAGATGGGACCCGCAGGCTCAGAGAGGTAACAGGATTTACCTGAGGCTAGATATTCACTCAGAATCCGTTGAGGGATTACGGATTGGGGCAGGGGATGTTGTAAACCCTTCGAGATTTTGCAAGCGTGTACAGGGGCCATTGAAGTGGAAGAAGAGACTAGGAAATTACATTCTCTTCTTACAGTTTGTCTTTCGTTAACTTTCGGGATCCTGGAGCCCTTCTTGCCTTTTGTACCGCCGATTTTTTCCGCTGAGATTCTCCCCTAACGTCAATAAGTACTGTGGAAGGTAGGTAGCTGTAAACCCTCTGTCTCACAGGGAAACACAACTTGTCAAGGGTTGCGTGAAGGAAACTTAAGTTGTACTAGACACTTTTTTTCCTGCAATAAAATAGCAGTCATTTTCCATATTCACTGAATAAAACCTCCTAGTTTGTTTTGTTGTGTCACTTCAGGATAATAGGGCAACAGCTGACCGCATGATGAGTAATATTTGTGTACTAATTACTCCCATCCATTCTCTTGAAAGCTTTGTTTATCACCGTTTAAGAGTGTAGCATCCCCACTTCTTCTTATCTGCTTAGGACAGGTGTCCTCAAACTACGGCCCAAGGACCACATGCGGGTGTTTTTGCCCGTTTGTTTTTTTACTTCAAAATAAAATATGTGCAGTGTGCATAGGAATTTGTTCATAGTTTTTTTTAAACTATAGTCTGCCCTCCAGCGGTCTGAGGGACAGTGAACTAGCCCCCTGTTTAAAAAGTGTGAGGACCCCTGGCTTAGGATTTTGCAGTATTTCAATTTTAAATATTGCTTGTATCAGCAAGCATTAATAATACTAAAATTATCAAGGACTTACTACTGTGTTAAGCATCTTATGTAGATTATCTCATTTCATCCTTATCACAATTTCTACATAGTTTTTAATTCCATTTTACATTTAAGAAAACTGAAAACTAGAGAAATTAGGTAATTGCTCAGTATTACATAGTTTTTAGATTTTAGAGTCCATATTTGAACTCAGATTAGACTCCAGAACCTTGAGTCCTAACCACAAACCTCGTTGTGTGTCGTATTGCAAATGGAAAGCATAAGCTAAAACTTCAGAATCCAAAAAATAAAATTACGGAGCATGTAAAAAGCAATGTAAATCCTAATCTTCAACTTCTTATATGATTGTAGTGAGCAAAAATATTTGTGTGTATTCATTTCATAGTAATTTTGGAATCTTTGCAATCTATATAGCCATTTTAGGATATGTGGCTAGCCATACCATTACCTACATTTTATCATTCTAAAGTAATTTGAGTTTTTGCTTGGGATTTTTTGAGGGAAACTTTGAGACCATATAGAATCTACAGATGGATGCATAGAAACAATATACCAATATTTAGTTAAATAGTGAAAGAAGTATTTCTTAACATACTTTATTTGCTGAATGAATTACTGAACACAAAGTTGTTAATTTATATATAACCTAATGTACCCCATGTTTTGAGGGGTAGGTCAGTGAACATATGTACCCAGGTGGCACAGTCAGTTATGCAAACCAGATACAAGGAGAGGAAGCAGTTACTATATTTAAAGATGAAAGTGTTCTGTCATGGGTTTATACCTTGATCTAACATAGTAGAAGTTGGGTTTCCTTTGTCAGAAATTAGACTGAGAAATGCAGCTTTTTCTTTGTAGGCCACCAAATGGCTGTTGTGAACCATTGCCAGTGCAGTCCGAGCTGCTGCATATTTTTAACCAAATTGAATCTCACCAGCCATGTCGGGGTGGGTGGATGGGTATGTATGTGTGTAACTAGTCCATGGCCTTCCCTAGTGTGCTTTTCCAGGAATCAACACTGTGTTCATTCA